GGGAACATCTCATGACTAGGGTTCTCAGCGTTCCCTACAGGACCTGAGCCCACAGCCCTACCACTCTTGAATCCCCAACTTAAAGAGAGCTCCATCATCCAACTCTTCCTTCCTCTTGCCACCACCCAGACTGCCTAAAGTAAGCTAGGATTTAAGTCTCTTCTGAGACTTCTTTTCTTCTGGTCTTTCTGTCCTTCCTCCTCAGAGAAGCTTTTCTTATGCCAGGGGGGTGGGGGGATGGGAGGGAAAAGTTGCTTGGCAACAATTCTTTTGAATCTTTCTTGCCTTCTACTTGGACTATTGCTTTTTAAAGCCCAGAAATGTACTCTCTCTGTTCTTTGGTTCCTCTCTGCTACCCCATCTTGGGCAATGCTAGCCTCACACTCCACTGCTTGACAATAGGAGGCTTCTGAAGTCAAAAGTAAGTGTAGGAAATGATGTAGCAGTAAATTCTCTACACAGCATCCTCCTTGGGTATTATATAATCACTTCTAGGAACTTCGACCTTAGACATCCCGAGATTATATTTTATAGTTTGAAAAAGTAACTAAAGAGGTCGCACGTTTAGAAGTGAGGAAAACCCTAATCCTCACACATGCACAAATTAAACATGAACAGGATGTGAGGTGCATATTGTAAAGGTGATTAAGCCAGAATTCAAGAAGGAAGGTCTTCAATGCAGCCTTGCTTTTTTGGCCTTTAAACAGCTTGTTTCTGAAGATTCCAGTGAAAGGGGGTGAAAGAGTCTGATCACCCAGTGAGTAAAAGAAGCTGAGACTTTGATGGAGCTTCCTGCCATCCTGTGGGAAATACCACCAGGGGAAGTGGGAGGAAGTGGGGCAGGCTGGAGGCGAAGGGGGGTGACTAGGTGCGGACTGTCAAGTCTCTTCCTAATAATTCCTACCTGCTTGTGGAAGTGCTGGTCAGTCTTGAGAAGGATTCCATGCCCAAGCCCACTCGTCATCATCCTTTCTGTCACTTCTCTCTCACTTTCCATGGGATGTCCTTCTCCCAGTGACTAGAATCCAGTCTTCAGCAGTGTTCTTGGCTTCTGTTCCCCATCGGCAGATGGCCACCACATGCTATTCCAAACCAGGTCTTCTGACTTTGGCTCTGGGCTTCTTCTTATGAGACCGCCTTTCTTGAAACACAGTCTCCCTTATGGCTCTTCACCATCGTATACAGTGCCTGGCTATCTCTTTAGCTATACTCAGTACTGTACTTTTTTATTATAGGGCACACTAGATAAATTAGACAACTTGCTGACACCTTCACTTAGTTGACTCCTGCTTTTGCTGAAAACCGTTCCTTCTGCTCAGAACCTGCCACTCATGTATACCTTCCCTCACACCAAATCCATGTCCTATGCTTCTGCTTATTGAAGGCTTACCAATTCTCCATGGTCTTCTAACATGTAACTCTCTATCCCCCATCTTCTGGTTATCTGGGTGAGCTTTTCACGAACCTTTTTAGGTGCAGTATCCTTTGTTGTACTTCTGGTGCCTTCTACGCTGTTGGCCGTAGACGTAGATTGTTGAACATTTGTAGTTTTGAACTATTATTCAGTTACTTTATTTCATTTTACAGAAGCTAAGGAAAAAGGTGAGAGTAAATCTGATTTACTATACTAAAATTTAATGGGTTGCATTGTCTTTCAACAGGGCATTTGGTCAAATACAGAGAAGACAATATATCTTTTGGCCCCATCCATAGAGTAAAATTATTCCTTGCTTCTTCAGAACCCAAAATGTTCTCTTCTGCAGTTGTTCAGAATTTCCTCTTAGCAGAGAGAATTCAGAAAAATAAGAATCTATACTATATCTTGGTCAACTTGGTTACAAACTTGAAGTGTAATCCATATTTTGTTCAAATCGTAGTAATTAACAGCTTCAGGGCTTGTGTTGTGAATTGTAGTTTCAGTAGACTGGATATATAGCAAAAATCAAGTCTCAAAGCACCAGGAAAGAACCCCTAACTTGTTTATTGTAATGTGCCATGAGTAAAAAAGCAGAGAGAGTATACTGCACAGACTACAAAGACCTAATGCTTCCGGTTTACTACATGTAGATGCTTTCCAAAAATATTTAATCCATTAAATGTACAAAGGCCTAGATAGAACATCATGTTAAAAATAGTGACCCTTTTAAGAGAAATAGTATTTGAGGCCTGGGAAGGAGCATAAATATTATTTTATATTGGAGGTAACCAGAGGAATTGTGTTAGTGATGAGTCAGGAAGAGAAGTGGGAGCCCCTCAGCTCCTGTCTAGACTGAGACAGTGAGTGTTTTAGGACCTGCTTCATTTCATGGTCCAGCCATCACCTGCTCTGTGATGTCACTGGACAGTTTGCTTAACCTTAGCCTTCCTTAAAAAAAATTTTTTTTTAAGAGATTTATTTATTATTTTAGAGAGAGAGCACATGAGTGAGGGGAGGGACAGAGGGAGAGAATTCCAATCAGCCTCTGCTCTGGGCATGGAGCCCCATGTGGGGCTTGATCTCATGACCCTGAGATCATGACCTGAACCTAAACCATGAGTTAGAAGCCCAACCGATTGTGCCACCCAGGTGCCCCATCTAATCTTACTCTCTTTATCTGTAAGATGAGACAAGAACAGCTACCCTTCAGAAGTTTTCAAGGATTAGATGAAGCTGAATATGTAAAACCCATCCCAGTGTCTGCCCCAAGTTCATGCTGAAAAAGCACTGGTCTTCCTCTAGGTTCTCCTACTTTTTACCCTAGAGAGGCGGAAAAAAAAATTGTTATTTAGGGTCATGCTCACCAGAGTAAGATAACAAATATAATTACTTTTAAAAATTTCTGATACCTTTAAATAAATTAACTTTTATAAGGAATTTTGAAGTTTCCTTAAGTTTTAAAATTAAATCCACTAATTAAAGTCACTATTATAATAAAACTAGAAAAGGAAATTAAAATTGAGTCAATTTTATTTTATTTTATTTTATTTTTTTTTAAATTGAGTCAATTTTAAACTTAGGTTTGATTTAAATTTTAATAGGACCAAATATTGTCTATCTTTTGTAGTAGGAACTACATGTTTTTATATGAATCATAGGAATACTATATATGACTGACATTGGAATATAATAAGCTTCTGTGATATTTTTTAAGAGAGTATTATTTTAATAAAAATATTCAGGACAAAATTATCACCATAATTATGTGTTGCATGTTTTTTGTGAAAAGTTAGGAAACGTAGTATTTTTAGTTTGCCGATCTGACAGATTTATTGAGAGAGAACACTTTAAAACTCAGAATGGTATGGCTAACATTTGCCACAAATTTGGTAGTTATCAATATTTAAATAAACAATAAAAATTTAAAAAACAGTACCTATGTGAATTTTTATCACTAGAGTTTTCCTAAAATTATTAAGGGCTAAATAAATATACATTCTGATGTAAAGAAATATAAAAATTTGTGAGTATTTGATCAGGTAGAAGGGGGGGATTAATGGTTCTCATACCCAGGATTAGCTGAAGTAGTTCAGGAAATCAAGACAGTTTGTAAATGGTATAGCCAGTATATAGAACTATCATTTGTAGTCTCAGAGTTCCTGTTTTCCTCCAATCCTAACTCATGAGATTACTCACATCTCAGTAATCCTGCCAGAGCACCCCTGGAGTCCTGGGATCCTGTCTTGCCATTTTACAGCAGCAGCAGGTATCTGAGAGACTCTTCTGGTGGCCTCTAAGACTAAAAGTTACCTTTAGTCTAGGGGATAGGGATGGGGAATACCCTTTAAATTGAAAAGAAGTAACAAATTAGGTAAAAATACTCTTAACATACAAAATACAATAAAATCATTAGTATTTAGACTACACAAAGAGCACTTACAATTCACTACGAATAAGAAGCATGGGACAGAAACAGGAAATTCACCAAAGAAATACAATAGCCTTCTGTTAGGTAAACACAAAATAAAACAAATTCAGATGGGCAAAATTGAAAAGTTAGATAATGCATAGCGTTGATTAAGGTGTAGAAAAATGGATTCTCTTCCAGTCAGAGTGCAAATTGTTTCAGCTACTTAATATGTGTTTGTTAAAATAAGAAATATGTGTATCTGAGGGCCCAACTTTGATTTCTCCTATCTCCCTGCAGAGACCTTTTGTCCTTAGACACAACGAGGCATGTGCCTGTGTGCTCACAGCAGCATCATATATAATCATGAGAGATTGAAAGCAAATTAAATTCCCTCTAAGACAGAAGTGGCTAAAGTAACTGCTACGTGCAGAACATGTAGCACTCTTTAATGATGATTATAAAGAATGGCCTAGAACGGTGTGTGTTGATAAAAAAGAATCTCCATGACAGACTGAGTCAAGAAGAAAAAAAAAAATTGAAACACAACCTTATGATGTGTCCCCATTTATTTAAAAAGAGAGAAAGAAAGAAAGAAAGCATGAGGTAATACGATAGACTTTCTACAATAGTAGCTTTCAAACCCTTTTGGAAATGACCTTCAACAAGAAACATACTTTATATCGCAACTGAGCAGACCCTTACTGTATGCAGTGCACTCTGAAATTCTTCTATCCTGTTCCATGTCATTCCATTCCATTTATCAAAATGCTGGTCATGACCCATTTAACTGCTTTCAGGATTCAACTAGCATTTGAAAAATACTGTTCTGAAAGTACACAGTAAATGGATAGAAAAGGGACCAGAAGGCAACACACCAAGGTGATGTCAGAGGTCACTTCTGGGGGAGGCGCTGGGGTGAGGGCGGGGGTCATTCCAGGGAGCCTCCAGCCCTTTCTGTAATACCTGCGTTGTTTTACGATGGACACGTGTAATTAAACATTTTTAAATTGATTTTTTTAGAGAATGAACAATCAAAATTATTTTGAAAGACAAAGATTTACTGGGACTGAGAGGAGTGGTCAAGAGGTCTTAAGAAAATTTTAAGTTGCTTTGCATAATTGAGTAGTTCAGAAGACAGGCGTTCTAGCTAACCATCTCTGTTTTTGTGTTTAGGGCCACAGATGAGCACATTCTTGTGGCAAGGTAGAGTCAAACCCGTGTGATATCCCACTCAAAATGTCATCACAATCTCAGAACTCTCTGCCACGCTGTGAGATTTTAACTTGTCGCCTATGAATGTTAAGTCCACGTATCAAAAACATAGAGTAGTCAACATACAGGTGATCCAAAAAATCAAACTCTCCAGCTTCAGAAAATGTGAAGTTAATGTTCCTGTAGCAACAGCGTCTTGGCCACATTACACGGTCTGTAGTTCTTGGTATGGATCTAGAAAAACAAATACTTACGTTTTAAGAATCATTTCTACAGGAAACACCACTGTAGAAAATTTGACATATGTACAACGTGGCCATCTCTGCAGGCTGGAGCAGATACCTCCAGCATTCTGTTTTCTATTTTAGACCTACTTTAATTCTTTCTGACTTACCTTCACATTTTTACCCTAAGGGTAATTTATCAAACATCATCCTAATGTCAAGTAATTGATGCTTAAAAGGACTTAGACACAGTGCCTAGGGTAGGTAAATCCTTTGCATTTCAAACATTTAAACAACGTATTAAACGCAGATAAGCTGGAACTGGATAATTCTTTATATGAATTTCTCAACTCAGTAAAGATGCCCATAAAGAAAATGGTATTTCTTTAAACATTATGTTTGTTTTCTTTTTGTGTCTGTGTCCTAAATATAAATTGTCACATGCTTATAATAGAACAGGTTGAATCTTTTAATGACCACATGAAATTTTTTCACTGAATGTTCTGGAAACAATTTTTTATGGTAAAATAGGCAAACTTTCTCAGAAAGCATTTATATAAGAATTATTTTTCAAAATCTTAGCTGTTGCTAAAGCAATGATTATGTTCACACTGAACTTTCCACAGACTCAAGATGGTATGGAGGGAAGTAGAGAGGGCCTTCGGAGCTTTTCTATGCATGCTATAGGTCACACCAAGGAAGGGCAGGAGCAAGAGGGGGCAGGGGGAGGATTCTATACATCCACATATCTGAAGTCTCTCTTCCATTTTCTTCAGTGTGGATCTGAGGGTGGGAAGAGTCAGAGGTGGCCTTGCAGCTAATCTTGAGTTTTATATTCCTCAAATTTAAGAATGGATGACTTGTGGCTATGACATCTGAAGCTGAGAAAGCAGCTCATATGCAATTTGATACCAAGTTAGCCTTAAACTGTGAAAAGTGGTGTGGCTGGATGATAAGGACTCAGGATAAGTGATGAAATGTGTCTCATTTAGACCTGGAGAAAAATCCAGGTGAAAATTTGTACTAATCAAAGGTTACAATCACTTTCAGTCCCTTGATTATTACAAATTATACTTTTTTTGATTTTTGGTTTTTGTTTGTTTCTGTTCTTTTTGTTTTTTCCTCTGTAAGATTGCCTATTCAGCATTTGTATTAGTAGTTTTAATAAAATTAGTTTTAAAATATGGTATTAAGGACATAATGACTAAAATTTAAAAGGCTGATAGGCTGTGAACTGCACCTATCTGAAGCCCAGCTTTTCAAAGGTCACAGTATCCAAAGCACCCCTGATTCCTGGTGACAGCCTGACTTGATTGCAGGCAAAATTTCCAAGAGTCTTTTAGATGTTATAAAAGGTGACATTGTTATTTTACTTAGCAGTCTTATAAATAAAGGAAAGAAGGCTTGCATCCCATATTGTAAAATATTGAAGTGTTACAGGGTCTCTGCATATTATTTCATTGGTAGGATAAGGATCTTAGCTTAATTTTTTTTTCAGAATTTTACACCATTTTCACTAATATCACTTTTGAAAGAGAAAACCAGGATCTTGACTAACTGCAGAATTTATCATCCACAGCGTCTGCAGGGATTGCTGTGTCCCAGAGGAAAGTACGACAGATCAGCGATCCTATTCAGCAGATCTTAATTCAGCTGCACAAAATCATCTACATCACACAGGTCAGCGTACTAGCTTTTTATTTCCTTTTCATCTTAAGAATGAGTTTGATGCTAATTTTGTTGAAAACTACTTTGTGGGACTTTTACTTGGAATGAATGCTGATTTTTATCCTCTCCAACTACATATATTTGGGAACATTCTGGCTTAGCAGCAGGGCTGAAAAGGTCATTGGGTTAAAAAAAAAAAAAAAAAGCAAATATGGCAGGTTTCCCCTATGGTTCCTAACCTACTCTTTCATTGTCAGTGTCCCATTAAAAATAAACTACAATACAAATGGCCCTTGAGTGTGGGGATGAAAGGGGGCAGAGCTGGGTTCTGAACAGCTTCACTGCAGGAAAGAAAGAAAAGGAGTGCCCACTCACTAATCTTGAGGATGCTAGGTTAACACTAGAATATCTCAGAGAAATGAAAACACAAGGTCTGAGATTATTGACTTAGGCACTGAGGATGCAATCAGTTAGGAAATGGCTATTAATAATTTACAGAAATCTATTCAGTATTTATCTGTCTAATAATTTACAGAAAGCTATCTGATAAGCAAACTGAATGTTCATTTATCAAAGTTGACCAAAGTCCTATTGTTAATAAGAAAAGAAATTTTTGTAGATGAAGTGTCAGCATTTGGACAAGAAAGTAGCAAGTATTTTGAAGCTTAAGATTGCACATCTTATGCAGTTCATTCATTCATTCATTCATTCCTTTGACATATAATTATTAGGTGCCTATGATTAGGTGCTACTGTTCCATGCACTTGAAACATATCAAAGAGTGAAACATGTAAACATTTTCTCAGTCTAAGATCCAGAGAGCCAATCTGGCGATTCTGTCAGTTGCCAGTTATGGCAATTCCAATTATACATTCAAGTACTAGAGGGAAATTCCACCAGGTCTGTGGACCAGCTGGGTCCACTGTAAGTTATACTGGGCTATTACACTTAACCTCCCCCCAAAAGCAAACAAACGAACAAAAGATACATGCCATTTGGTGTGCCACAATGGCATTATCAGACTCTAGCAATTGGTGCTAGTTTACAACCAGTGTCCAGGTCTCTGAAAGCCTGTGTATTTCCTTCTCCCTAGTGAACAGTCACTCTGATAAATGGCGGCAGGTCTCTCTGGGCAAGGCTTGAAGGAAAATTTACAGCGTATACTTAACAGCAGTGTTTCGGGGCCCTTCCTAAAGGGGTCCCAGCTTTCCCACTAATCAAGGGCTTTGGGTCTTTGAATTGGCTGAAGTCTAGAAACTATATGAGAGTCTGTGACTCTCCACTGTGGCAACAGCAACAAAGCAGTTTGTTTTTTTGTTTGTTTTTTGGTTTTGGGGTGTTTTTCTTATTAGTTTTGTTTTTTGGTGGTTTGTTTTGTTTTTGTTTTTGTTTTGTCTACCAGGCCTAGTGTTTCTTTTCTGTTGTTTAGATTAAGGAATAATCTAGTAAGCCGACCACCAGTTTCCTTCCCAGGAACACCCTCGTCAGTTAACTATAACCAAAGAAATCTATGGGCCAAGGCATTCTAATTAACAGTACATCTCTTTCACCCTTTATGGTAAATGCCGAGTTTGTCGCTGGTGGTTAAGTGCTGTCATTTGGCTTTTGCTCCTCTGGGGTCACATGATCCTCATCAGAATCCTGTAGTTTCTGTGTTGTCCCTGGCCTACAAAGGAAAGCAACCACAGTAGTTTTTAAGGATGCGGGGCTCCCCTCTCTAATGTATTTCTCACTGCCTAATGACAGGAGTAGCTTCTCAGCATTCTTGTTGAACGTAATTGGGAAGTGAGTGTGCAGGTCACATATGGCAAATCTACCCCAACATTCCTATCTCCAGGCCTTTGAATTTCCCCCCCTCCACATACCAGGGAAGCTCTGCATTTTATCCCTATTAAATGTAGGCCACCACTGAGTTCAAGTTGTAGGACACCAACCAGTTAAGCAGTTACCTTCAGCTGCAGGACTAATACATGACATCTGAACTCTGTAGTAAGAGCACTCATATGAATGAATTCAGCCTGATCTAGTGCTCTATTTCATTCCCCTCGGCCTAAAACCCTGAGAGCCTACTACACATGTTCTCTGGGTTGCTGCTGGTATATAAGAACAAAGTCTTGCATTTCTTTCGATGGATAAGCAATTTCCTCTTGGGTCATACTGTGTACCAGTTCCCTGGAATCATATTGAGTCATGACCCTAGTAATGGACTTGAGCCTCATTGTTGGGGACCTTATGAGGAATCAGCATTCCTTTTTAAGGTATCACTCCTCATCTGTCCCAGATGTGTTTGGTGTAAAGTTTTCAAGCAAAAAATGTTTGATATCTCAGACACAAAGTGACAAGCTACTTCTGCTGGCAATGATAGCTCTGAGTGACTTGAATTTCAGGATTGTTACTTTTATCTGGATCCAGCAAAATGTCCCTATTTCAAGTTTCAGGATCCCATTCTTTTCCTAACTTTCACATGAGAAACTTGGCATAGTGTGCATTTAACTGACATTGTAATTTAGCAACCTGCCCAATTAAATTCATATTTGATTATCAGTCATATCAGTGCTGGGGTAGCAAGAAATAACAGGTCCTTTTAGAGCTATCATGGAATCTCTTTGGGTCTTAGCCTCTGATTTGAACCAAGAGTTAAAGGACCCAGGCTTGTCATTTTTTTAAGTGCTTGGATGCACTTTGAAGAATGCCTCCCTAACTCAGTCCTTGTAGTCTTCATACTGCCTAGCAGTCAAGTGTGGCAGCCATGTGAACTTGCAGGGCACTTGGTTCAGTTGGCTATTTATCACGGTGACACCCTGATTGATTGTGATGCCACTGCGTGCCATGGGTTACCCGCATCCTCCGTCCTATGGCAAAACTCAGTACTGGACTCACTTCCGGGGAACCATCAAACCAATTCCCAAATCCCATCTGTATTGGTCCTTCTCCTGGGACCTTCCTGGAACCGCTCTGTATCAGTGAGGGTCCAGTCTGGAGACAGAAAGTACATGGTAATTTCAACAGGAAGATTAATATAAAAAATTGCTTAAGATTATTAATAACATCAGGGTATTATTTAAAAAGGAGGGGAAAAGGAAAAATCTAAAGAATGTAGGAGGAGCAGACAAGGAAGTCACTACTTATAAGGCTAACATAGAGAGCATCCAAGAAAGGAACAAAATAAAAGAGGACAACCCCATCCCAGGCTGAGGTCCAGACCTTATTGGAAAGATCTGAGAAATCCAGTGAGGTGCTGTGCTAGAGAAACTTGCAAGGAAGTCTTCCTCTGGGGGACTGGGGCAAGTCATCCATGGTGAGTTGTCTTGCTGTGGAACTTGCTGGAAATCAGCACATGAGGCTTGGACTGGGAAACGCCCTCTATGGGACCAGAGGAGGCTGTCCAATGGTAGGTGCTGCTCCGTGGAACATTCTGGGCAGCTGCCTGCAAGATTGGTGCCACTGAAGTTGCTTGGGAGTGAGCATTGCTTGGGTGTTCCCATTCCAGCTAACCACTCAGGGCTGCAGGACTGAGGCACAAGCCTCATACTCCTCCAGCATCCCTCCAGTGCTATCTCCCAAGGGAGCTGAACATCTTATTGAGGGAGAAATTCCAGTATCACGTGCAGGGCACTAAAGGGTGGATTTGGAGCTGAGAAGCAACCCCATGGGCAGCTGACACACTTAGCCTAGGGGGCTAGGCAAGGGGCTCCCTTCTTTGGGACCTACTCACCTTTGCGTTCTCACTGCTTTCCTTTGCCCTTTTCCCTTTTTCCCTAGTCTGGCACTTATTTATCACATTTCCCCCCAAATTGGGCATTCTTTTCAATCACCATGAAGACTAGCCTTTTGCGACTCCAGAGTCTGAAATTGATTACTTTTTCCTCCATTTTCTGCTGTCAGCCTTTCCCTTAGGCAATCCCACTGAATTGTCTACCTGATTAAATGAAAGAGGGTGTAGGGGTCCACGGCAATGTGAGGGGATGTGGGAAATTGTTTAATAAATCAAAACATAATCTGCTATACCTCTGTTGAGTAAAGATATTATATTCAAAAATGCATTTCCATTTAAATGCTGATGTAGAAATATGGGGAAGCATTCTTAACTTTAGTGTTATGGAAATAGCTTTAAATAGCTTATTGGTTACTCAATGCTTAAGTACTAAATTGACAGAAAATAGGCTTTGAAATTTAAATATAGTTTCCATATGCCTGTCTTGCTAATTTTTATATAATAAAAAACTTTTTAATGGATGTATTCCATTTCTTTATTGGATTTCAAAATATGTTAAAGCAAGAATGAAATGATTATAAATATCTTATTATTATGCTCTCACACTACCAGCATAACAAATGATTTCATATTTTTTGGCAAGATGGCATTCCTTGCTACAAGCTCAGACGTAACCATTGTGGTTTTTTTTAAAATGTATTTCCAGAATACTTGAAGGTTTATGACATTGCAAATAGTAAGGAATGTTTCCCCTTTGGGGAACTTTAAATTACAATACTAACCCAAGTCAATGTGCCTTTCAAATAAAGGAGATAAAAACAAGTCAAAACATTATACTATTGAATTTACTATAGGTTAAAGACCAAGATCAGTTTTCTGTGTCTGCTAATTACAAAGGAAATCTGCTGAACGTAAACCTGGATCAATAAATAAACAGGCAAACAAACAACTTTTCTGGTCTGCATGTTTATTTCCAAGTCAATCTCCGTTGCAGACTTCTGCTGTGATAACTGCCCTGAGTTGCAGGGCCAGGTCCCTCCTGACAACCGCAGATAACCTTACAGAGGAAACTGCTTCCTTTTGGCCGGTGGTGGCCTTTCCCATCCAGTTTCCATGGAGACAGATCTTGGAAATCATCTAAAAGCAACTATTTTAAAAGGCAGGATGTTAAAATCCTTACACTGTCAAAACAGATTTGACATCTGTTTTTATCAAAACTGAGATTGTAATCTTAGGACAGCCAGCTGAGAATGGAATCAGTGGTTCATTTCCATTGCTGGAAACCAAAAATCGATCTTTGGGCACATAAGGTGACCAACGTATACGTATGTCACCTTTTGGTCCGAGTCTTTGTGTATGATTGCTTAGGTAGAACCCACGCAGCCAGCTGAAGTTCTGGATTTAATTCTGTACTTACGGTTTGATTGCTTTGTTAAAGAAATGCTTTGAAAATCAACATATGGCAACTTTTAAAAATTAACAGCTGTCTCCTAGAGGACAGATAGAGAGTTTACATGGATCTGCTTTGGACTGCCATCTTAACACTCTCAGCTATTGCCAACAAAACAAAAAAATGTGGTCTGGAACAGCAGTTTACTCCCCCCGATGCAGTTATGCTAGCTGCTGTCATCAGTGAAACAGACCGGGTTTCCAGCAGTAGTGATAGATGAAACTAGAACCACCCGTACTTTCTCTTATCTGGGTCTCCTGGCTACTCATGGCAGGGGGGACAGAGTAAACAGAATTGAGGGTAAACCCATGTATCTAAGTGCAGTCGTGTTTTTGGAGTTTGCAAATTCTAAAAGAAAGCTTACATTTTGTCTATTTATTTTGATAATAATCTTTGAGTATTTTTTTTCTGGCATTTACAGAAATCTCCTCTTAAGAAGCAACATATCAAAATAGTTTGTTTTTGTAATAAGATATTATTTAAGTCACTTCAAATGGCATCCTCTCACCTATTGATGGTCTGCTAACATATTCTTGGAGATACTAGAGAGTGTGTTTTTAGAAAGTATCTGAATGTAATGCAAGTTCAAGAAACTCTAGTATAGAACACAGAGATCAGAATTCATTTTTTTCTTGTTGTGACTTTGTTTGGTGTGGTAAAAACAAAAAATAAGCTCTTAGATGGATGGTGAGAGACTCACCTTTTCTAGAATCAGTTTCTTGATCGGTAATATTCGGGTAGTTTATGGGGCTATTGTGTTAAAGGAGATAAAGTATGTGAAGTATTTATAAAGTATTAAACGGTAGTAATGCTATAGTGGTGTGTTTGCTCTAGGATAATAGTTGTGTTAAAAGACACTACTACATCAGAAAATATCTTTGCAGGTTGCATAATGTTTTTAAACTCTGATTTCCTTACCTATAGACTAGTACCTGCTTTATAAGTTTATTGTGGGGAGAAAAGTGACATAATACACATAAAGGAGTGATCATAGTAACTGGCACATAAAAATCACAGGTATTAATATTCTGTTCTTAGTGTAATTGTCCTTAAATATAATATAGTAACATAGTTACATTTTCTGCAATTGAACTATGCATGAGTCATCATTCTGTGTAAAATTTTAAATTCTTCCATGAAACTTTTAAAGATGGGATGCTGTGTATAGTGACAATTTTTCCAGTAAGATAAAATAGCTTTCTAATACTGCCCTGTGTATGAATCTTTAGTTCACTGTTAACTTATTCAAGAAAGCTTTTATGAGAATTAATTCAAGCAATCAGGAGCAATAAAAACGACTTTAAGTTAACGAGAGGTTTATCAAGTTAAATAAATAGCAAGGATTTTTAGAATATTTGAATTAGTAATCTCATACTGATAGCTGCCAGTGTTGGGGTAAGTCACTTTGGAAGGAAACTGAGGACCCAGTGGTCTTCACGCCTTCAAAGTTTGCTGTGCAGACAATTAGGGGTTTCAGAGGTTCGCTTCTGCCTCTCTCCTTGGCAATTAGAATCATGCAAGGCAACAACTAGACGGTCCTGGGCCAACACTGCCCTCTGGTGTTTGATTTTGGGAAGTGGCAACTTCCAGTGTCAAACACTAGGGAATTACCAAATCCCAAAAGGTTATCTTCAGGCTCTTCTCCCATCCCTTCTCCACTCTAACCAATTCCTTTGCTAGGAAAGTGTGCAAATAACCCTTCTCTTCGTTGTCTGGTCCTCCTCTTAGGTTAACCTCATTTCACTTTTGCTAATCTCTCATGCACACATATATCATGTATACTCATTTTCTTTCTTATCTTTCTTCTGACAATTTGCTCATTAATGCCAAGAAATCTCTCTCTGTCTCTCTCCCTCTCTCCACATTTCTTTATTTCCCTTTTCATTTAATGTAAAATGACAGCAATAATTATGACTATTTGCTGGGGATAGGGAGGGTGATTACATCTGAAGTAAGGTACAAGAATGCTATAGTATTGACATAAAAAGAGCTCAGCAGAGATTCAGTGCTGTCAATTTACAGAACCTTTCAGTATATTAAAGGGCTTCAGACCCTCCAGTAGAGTCTTGGTTCCTCTGTTCTTAAACCTGCTTTGACTCAAACAGAGTCAAAGGACTGACTAGGATTATAGATGCATTGTAAAAGCACATTTCAATTATGTTGTTTCTCTGCTTATAGCATTACAGTGCTTATTAATGGGTCCCATATTCTATTGTGTTTAGACTGATGAACAGTTTTTCTTTGGCTATAAAATCAGGTGTTGTGAGCCCCCATTGACCCTATTCATTTCTCTAGTACCTTTTATCATTCCCTTGCTTCATGAAACTTCAATGAATAGACATTTCTTGTATTAACCAGGATATGGAAAGTTATATTATACTAACAAGCCCCGAAATCTCTTTGCTTGATACAATAGAGGTTTATGTCTCACTTAGCTAAAGTTAGGTCAGGTGGCCCTCCTCCTTGTGGCTATGCCATCAGAAATGGGTGGAATCCAAGCTCCTTGCCCAGGGTGGACAGGGATGGAGGAAACATACTGGCTTTGCATTTCCTCATCCTTAGAATGACACATATAATTTTCATTGGCCCAAAGTAGTCACAGGGCACCAAACCTAAGCTATAAAAGAGTATTAGAAAAATGGAGTGGGGGTGGGTAAATGATTGTCACTAACATGTTGCTCTTTCTTTTGATGTAAACTTTGAATTATATTCTTGGTTGTTTTTTTTTTTTAATTTGTTCATTTGATTTGTTTGGTTTTGCTTTTACTCTTAAGAGCTCCTACTACCACGTTTTCCTTCCCACTTAGTGATTCTTTTTTATCTCCTTCTAGGTCCTCTCCATATTTTAAACAAACCAGACATTATTTGCACTCTGAAACCCCTTATCATTCTGACCCTATTTCTCTGCTCTCTTACCCTTCTCCCAAACTTTACTTCATCCCTCTGTGCTTTCCAGGATCTTTGGTTTCCTTGTCTAAATTCAACTGCAAAGCACTACAAAATCAATTTTTGAAATCCCCAGTTTCATCCAATCACCATATTTTCTAAGATTTTAAGAGGGACTTCCTACTAAGTTATTAAATCCAGCTCATCCTGGCCCAGCCCCAATGTATGCTCATTCATTTTCTTCTTCTTGACAAAACTGATCCCTATAATCCAATTTCCCTCTATGTGAGTATTCAGGAGCACCGACTGACAGACACAGTACTACGTAGTAATGCAGATATGTACTTCCTGTTCTAAAGTATCAGATCCATCAGGACGAATGCCTTGCTTCCTATGTTTAGCAAAATTCTGGGCATGACGTAAGCACTAAACATCTGCTAGAATGCATCTCTCCTTGTGAAGTCTCTTTTACCAAATTCAATTTATAGGTGCAATGTTGTTGTTATGTGAAAATAATACCAATAAAATGAAAGAACAATAGGATAAATAGAAGCAGCCTTTTTAAAGAGAGAAGAGTAATGTATTCCTTCTGGATTATGGAATGAAACAATATCACACGTCATCATGCTATTTGAAGTAGAATTTTTATTCTTTTTTAGTCCTGTTGAATTAATGTTGTTACACTGACCCTCAGTGAATGCTTCCTGGGCGTCATCTGTGCAGTGTTAACAATTTGCTTATAATAATTGTTTTCTCACTTTATGCAGCTTCCTCCAGCTTTGCACCACAATTTGAAAAGAAGGGTTATAGAGAGATTCAAGAAATCCCTCTTCAGCCAGCAGAGTAACCCTTGCAATTTGAAATCTGAAATTAAAAAGGTACAGTATTCAACACCTAGGAGTTCTTCTCTGGCTAACAAAAACACGTCAGAAGAGCTAAATTTTATACCTTCTCTCCTTTGTACTTTAAACTCTATCCTCTATTAAAGGATGTTATCATTGTTTTAGTCCTTTCAAGCTGCTATAAAAAAGACACCATAAACTGGGGAGTTTATAAACCACAGAGGTTGCTCACAGTTCTGGAAGCTGGAAGTTCAATATCAAGGTGCCAGCATAGTCAGGTTTGGTACAAGCCCTCTTCCCAGTTACAGACTTGTGACTTCTGTCCCCGCTTGGCAAAGGAGGCAAGGAAACTGTCTGGGGCCTCTTCAAAGAGCACTTTTTGTAAGAGCACTCCAGGGCTCTGTCCTATGGCCTAATTACCTTGCAATGACCCTGTCTCCCAATACAATCACCTGGGGGGTTAGGTTTCAGCATAGGAATTTAAGGGGATGCGAACATAAGCACTGCTTATGGTATGAAATTGAGGATGTCTTTGCTTCTGATTTTCTCACCTTTATTTCTGTGGCCATCATCTCAGAAGCTTAATAGGAAGTTCTTTCGGTATGATTACTTGTTTTCCTAAGAATGAATGTCTTTAAATATCTTTAATCAAAAAATATAATTTAACCTTTTTAAAGAGAATTCTATCCAATTATTTTATTAGAACGTTCTCCAACAAGCCTCTAAATTGAGCTGTGCTACTCTGGACAAGTCGTTTAACCATCTGAAGCTGTGATTTTGATCACCTACGAGGGTGGAATGAACCACTATTGACCATTGAACAACATGGGGACTAGGCACTGATCCCCTGCTCCTGCACAGCTGAAAGTCTTTATATATATATATATCTATATCTATATCTATATATAGATATATAGATATATATATATTCATTTTAGAGAGAAAGAGACCATTAGCACGTGCAAGTGTGGGAGGAGCAGAGGGAGAGATTCTCAAGCAGATCCCCCTAAGTGTGGAGACAGCCTTGGGGTTAGATCTCATGACCCATAAGATCATAACCTAGGCCACAACCAAAAGTCAGATGCTTAACCGACTGAGCCAGCCAGGTTCCCTGAAAATCCATGTATAACTTTTGACTCCCTAAAACCTTAACTAAGTGCTCGCTATTCACCAGAAGTTTTGCGAATAGCATAACCAGGGATTGACACACATTTTGTATGTTATATATTATATACTGTATTCTTACAATAAAGTGAGCTAGAAATAAGAAATATTAAGAAAATCATAAGGAGAAAATACATTTACAGTACTATACTATAAGAAGTCCACATATAAGGGGCACCTGGGTGGCTCAGTGGGTTAAAGCCTCTGCCTTCAGCTTGGGTCATGATCTCAGGGTCCTGGGATCGAGCCCCGCATCGGGCTCTCTGCTCAGTGGGGAGCCTGCTTCCTCCTCTCTCTCTCTGCCTGCCTCTCTGCATACTTGTGATCTCTGTCAGATAAAAAAAAAAAAAAGAAGTCCACATATAAGTGGACCCATGCAGTTCAAACCTATGTTGTTTAAGAGCCAACTGTATTTTTAAGCTTCTTTCCATCTTTGATATTCTATAATCTCCTAGACCTCGGGTGTTAGTAAATATTTCTGTTCACATACACAAAATCGAAATCACAGAGAAGTTAAATCAACCAGACAGAAGGAAAATTATTTATCTCTATTTAGCACAACTTGATGACAGGAAACCCCTTTGTCCTGGCTGGCAGCCATTTCCATACATCCCTTGGAGGTGGTCACAACCTCCCCTTCTCCTGTCCCGGAAAGACTTGAGGCCCAAGCAGTTTGGGCCTGCTCCCATTTTAATTTATCTGTTTATCTATCTATCTCTCTATCTATCTATCTGTCTATCATCTGTTTTATCATCTTCTTAAACTTTGAAACAGTCACATGGCCAATGAACTTTTTTCTTTTATTAAAGTTTCTCCTTTCCTGGATCCAGTCTTAAGCATAAATATACTCCTTATTCAGGCAGTACGATGGACTCTTTGGTAAGAAATGCAAACTGTGTTTGTTCTGTTGCCTTCCCTCTGTGGTGTCTGCAGCTACACAAACTGGAGATGGGAAAAGAGATAACAGTGGCAGGTAAACAAAACAGAAACCTATCTCATCAGAGATGAAAGAGCACAATTCCTTTCACGGGTTGTGTCGGCAAATCAGGCCCAGAAACAAAGCTAGAGGAGCTCGAAACAAGTGGATGAGACTGCGGATATTTGTTTTATGATATTTACATATTGTACCATGAATACCAATAACTATATTTTAGGAAGACAGAGGCTCAAATCTCCCATGAAAATATTACATGTTGCTAGGTTTTAATATTCTTATTAAAATGATATGCAGAATAATCCAGTTTATACACAAATTTATTTTAATAGAAATCCCAGCTTTAAGAGATGGAAGTGCCCACAGCAGGCTGTCTGATGCACAGAGGTGCCTCCAACTCTTCCCCAATGCTGTGATTTTCCGCCCATGCACGTCCTTAAAACAGATCACTTGCTCTTTTGTTACTGAGGTGTACTGGTTTGCATCCTTCCCTTGCTGTGTTTCTTGTCTCTCCTGATAGAAAAAAGATTCTCTTTAGTTAAAATGGCTCCGCCTGCCTTGGTGGCCTTCCCCTGTACAGTGGCAGCCTCTCTTAGAGCACTTACCTTCTGTCCTTGGTTTGGGGAATGAAAATGGATTAATGAGGTGGTAGAGGGTGTTCAGGGAGCCTGGGTGAGGGAACCCAAGGGGTCATATAGATTTAGCCTTCTTTTCAGCGTCGTTTAGAGGCAGTTTAAATTCTCCTGTGAGGAATGCTATGGTCCCCTTCTCTGATAATTACAAGCTGTGGTGGTTCATACCATCATGGTGTTTACCCTCCTGATCGTGGAGACAGGCCTCCTCTTCTATGCGGAAACTGATCTTCTGCCTGGAATATTAACATGCTTCCTATTCTCCACCACTGAACCGAGAGGCCAGCTCCTCCATAAAAATCTCCCTTGATTTTCCCTGTTCAGAATTAATCTCCCCTTTCTCTGTGCTTCAGGCACTTTTTCACCGTATTGTGGGTTTTTTAAAAATTTTTAATGTTTTTTTAAAGATTTTATTTATTTATTTGACAGAGAGAGACAGTGAGAGAGGAAACACAAGCAGGGGGAGTGGGAGAGGGAGAAGAAGGCTTCCCGCTGAGCAGGGAGCCCAATGCAGGGCTCGATCCCAGGACCCTGGGATCATGACCTGAGCCGAAGGCAGATGCCCAATGACTGAGCCACCCAGGTGTCCCTCACACTGTTGTGTTTTAAATAGCTTTTTATCTAACTTACATTTTTGTTGCCCCCAAAATCAGTGGGGGTGTTATATTCATCTTTGATTACCTACAGTCTTGCACAGTGCTTGACACATGATAGAGCTCAGTGTATGATCGTCAAATACAGAATATATTCTATGTTGACAAATAAATTCTGTGTAATATAGTCTATATTGGGTCTCTTCTTTATTGATGTATATAACATATTATATGACATACATTGACATATACCATATTTATATATTTTTATATGGATATAAAAAGAAGCCCTCCTGCCCTCATTTAAACACAAATGAGAAGAGTCTGTGGCCTCTGTTTTTCTCCCTTTCTGGTCTAATCTTTTATTCGTGACAATTTTTGTTTAGAAATGGATTTTTATCCCCTGTATAATCTTGGTGGAGTGGCCAGTTAGCCTTTTTGGCTAATAGTCACCCACCCCAGGGCCGTGGAAGAAGCAAGTAGTGATAGTTCATAAAATGCACTTGATTTCCACCTTCCCCTCTGAAACTTGTCCTGAGATCCAGGGAGCCCATGTCTCCGGTTTGAGGAATCATTATGGGGTGATTGTGCCTTCTGATGAATGGCCCGAGACCCAGCAGGATATACAGAAGAGTGAAAGAATAGAAAAGCCGTTTCCTAAGAAACTAAGCTATTTATTTATGACTTACCTAAGCTGATCTTCTGTCCAATCTGCTCAACCTTGGCTAAAAATTGTGAGGGGAATAAAATTGTATAGTGTTTTGGGAAACTAGGATTTTCGGCATGGGAGAGAGGAGAAACAGAAACAAGATGGAATATATTAATTCAAATTAGAATTGGAGATCCCAGTATGAATGAGTATGAATTCATGATAAATGTTTTTTTAAAATGCACGTATATCCTAATATTTTCTCTAAGTCGTCTCGAAACTAAGCAAGCAGCAGTGAGCTAGCTCCCTTAGCACTCGTGCCTCCTCGGAGGTACAGCTGACTGCTGATAGAGCTAGAGCAGGGACTAAATTAGGTGGAATGTCTTGACATAATAGATCGTGTAGTGAGGATGCCATCAAGGATTACTGAGGATGTGTCAAAAGGAATCAGGCACCGACTTAAAGAGGCTCCCACTGGCTAGCTATTGGATAATTAGAGCATCAATAAGAATAATGACTGCAATGGATTGAAAGAATTAACTGAAGTTTAAATCTAAGAGTTCATGACAGAAAAAGAAAAATCCTTCATTGGTTTCCTTTGGAGGATGCTAAGTAACCAACTCTTTACTTTGAAAATTATTTACAAAAGGAACGAATCAAGCATTTATTGTGCCGTTGCCTTATGAATTCTATCCCAGGGTAACTAAATTGATGAAGGGGAAATTTCTTATTAAAGTAGTCCTTCAGCTAATAACTAGAGGAATAAAAAAACGTTGCCGTTCTGCAGCCTCTAATGGAATGATGGATCTAGACATCATCCCGGTGGCTTGCTAATGTCCCCAAAAAGGGGCAGCCAGACGTTATATGGCTCCTGATGGATGTGCAGTACCATCCATGAAGTATATTTGCTAAAGGCTTGGATCTGCATCCGAGGAAGCCTCCAAATATGGTTTTTGGAAATAAAGTCACTGGAACATGACCACACGCCCTCCCTCACGTATTGTCTGTGGTCACATTCACCACCACGTAGGCACAGTTGAGTGGCCGTGACACAGACTACATGG